TATTTTATATTGATGTATAAATTGTAGTAAAATATAAAATTAACTTAGATTTATAAGGAGGAACAATATTTGAAAAATGTATTAATATGTATTGTATTTGTTATAATATTTTGTAGTTATTTAATCTGCTTGGTTTTACAAGGCTCACTCTTATTGAARCACTTTTAAAACACAGAAAAGATATTTTGAAACAGTGTTTAGGGACAAATGAAAAAAAATCTTTGCTTTCAATGAATTTAAGTATGTAAATGAATATATAGATTATTTTAAAAAGACCAATTCTTAATTGTCTTCTGTCTTCATCACTCTACGCAGAAATGGAAAAAAGACCTAGACACATGGAAATGATTACTATTGAAACTGAAGAGGATAAATTACTTAGAAAAGAATTAAGAAAAGAAGAAAAAGCTAGCCAAAAAATAAATCGCCGACAGGATTCTGATTCAGATGATGAGATTTTAAAAATGGTTTCTAAAACGTAAGTGATATAAATAAACTTATTCTATTTCGATTGTGAAACAAAATAAAAAATATGGTTGTTGTATTAAAGGACAAGTGCAGCAAATGTTCCTACATTTATTGACCCAAAAAGTAGAAAAGCACCTTCAGYTCAGAAATACCCCCATGTTTACGATATGAATTTTGAATCTAAAGTATCAAGTTGTAAGTATTTCTACTTTTAATCTTGTGTATTTCCACATAATATGATATTTATCAAATAGGTTTCATATCTGGAGAATCATGTGTTATCCCTGCAGGAGCTAAAAGAACAGACCATCGAACTTATGAAGAAGTTTATATTCCAGTTGCAAAAATGACTCAAGAATTGACTGTTGGAAAAGAATTGATTTCCATTAAAACTCTTGATGAAGTTATTTTATTGTGTGTTAGAAATTTGATATTATTACTAATATTTATTTTTGTGTTTAAAGGTTGGTCAAAAAGCATTTCATGGTATTACCAATCTTAATAGAATACAATCGGTAGTTTTTGATGCAGCATATAACACTAATGAAAATTTACTAGTATGTGCCCCAACTGGAGCTGGAAAAACTAATGTTGCTTTGTTGACCATAATCCATCAAATTAAACAACATATTAGGAATAATGAAATAAATAAAAATGAATTTAAGGTATACATTTTCACCTTTATCATCATATCCTTTCTCACTTTTTTAAATTGTATTTCAGATTGTATATGTTGCTCCAATGAAAGCTCTCGCTGCCGAAATGACTGCAAATTTTTCTAAACGCCTTTCTAGCCTAGGAATTTCTGTTCGTGAATTCACTGGAGACATGTCACTTACCAAAACAGAAATGCTCAACACTCAAATATTAGTTACAACTCCTGAAAAGTGGGATGTAGCTACTCGTAAAGGAACTGGTTAGGTGTTTTTATTATATATATATATCTAAATAAACAAATCTTAAATTCTAATATATTTATTTTTAGGTGATGTTGCGTTAACATGTTTAGTTAAGCTATTAATTATAGACGAGGTGCATTTATTGCATGGTGATCGTGGTCCAGTCCTTGAAGCTCTTGTAGCACGTACTTTAAGACAAGTCGAGTCTTCTCAGAGCATGATTCGAATTGTTGGTTTATCTGCTACATTACCAAATTATAAAGACATAGCACGTTTCTTAAGAGTTAATCTTTATAAAGGACTATTTTATTTTGATGGACGTTTTCGACCAGTACCATTAGTTCAAACATTTATTGGGGTTCGTGGTAGCAAGACTGTAAAAATGGTACAGGAAATGGATACAGTTTGTTATGATAAAGTGTATGATATGGTACAAAAAGGACATCAGGTAAGTTAATTTGGTAGTGTTCATCAATAAATATTAATTAAATTGTTATTTATTATGTATTAAGGTTATGGTGTTTGTGCATGCTCGCAATGCCACCATTAAAACAGCTAATGTTTTTAGAGAACTTTCAACTCAGAAAAATCACCAGTCTGCATTTCTTCCYCAAGACTCTAATAGAATAGGTATAGCTAAAAAGGCTTTTGAACGTTGTCATTCAAAAGAATTAAGCGAATTATTAAACAGTGGATTTTCCGTTCATCATGCTGGTCTTCTGAGATCTGATAGGTAAATAATTTATGGTTTTGTAGCTTTATAAAAGTGATACATTTTGATACATGTACACACTTGTAATTGAAGGCAATTATTTGAAGATTTTTTTTATGTATTTCAATAATTTCAAAACTATTTTAAGCGAATTATTTCAAAATTTTTT